TAAATCACTCAACTAATCACTTGATGACACGCCCCGTTTTGTACGAAATATTATAAAAAAACATTGCCTTCAAATTATTTTCACATCTAATTTCCGTTGTGGTGGGCATTGGGTTGGAGTAATATATTTATTTGAATTTTGAGTCAAACACAATCCACTTATTAAACTTATAGTCCACTCAAGGTGGCCAAACGTCATGATTAATGGTCATCGCTGGCACATCAAGTAAGCTCCAGAACTTGCTTCCTTCCTTACAAAAAATGAAACCGGGAAGAGCATTCCATATTTTGATAACATAAGTTAACATCTGTGCTTTCTTGGGGATCTCTCAGTTATTAAAACCTGGTAGAGCTCTGAGTTCAAATTTTAACCCATTTTGTGCACTGGTTGTCTCGTGTCGTTTTTATATATGTAAATTAAGTGATATATATAAAATTTTATACCATTTTAGATTAATCAATTTTAGAGTTATAATGTCATATCTTTATCTCATTATATTACTATTAAAAAAAAATTTGTTGACAACAAAAATGATATTGAAAAGAAAAAATTATTTTTTATTATATAATTTATTATTGATGTATCTAAAAAGAAATGCTAACATGCTTTGTACTTGTTGGAGCAAGTTCGAGCTGCCAACAGACAACTCAATCTTACTGAGTTAGATATCAAAACATATAAAAAGGGCCTCAATCTACTTTGAGAGTTAACCTAGACCACCATAGAGGCTCAGCATCCTCAAATAGCTCAGAAGAGACCACGTCCCCTTGAAAAACTATACCGTAGAACTTAAAGACACCGACCATAGTAAAGCAAACCTTTACAGGATTTTCATTTGCTTGAGCAAAGCAATATTACATTTTCCTAGACAATATTCACAAAACCTTCAAGGGTTTGAATCCTTAAATCTTGATTAACACATCCAAACAGTAACAACGAAAATTACATCAAAATGGTGGGATCCCTCCCTTAGAATCAAAACATATATTCATGGCTAACAAACTTGGATAAATCTAGGTAAAAGAAGACATTAGTGCTAAAAGCAACATGACTGAAAGCTTCAAAACAACTCCCTTGTTAGCAATGGCCCATAAACTCTTCCATATTTTACATAGATGGTTTGTTAAGCCTACTTTAACCCCATGTTTAGACTGAGGGAAACGGGAAAGGAGAGGAAACGGGAAAGGAGAGGAAATGAATTTCCTTTAATTAAATGAAGGATAAGGGAATATAGGACCTTTACTCCATTTAATTGGAGGAAAATCATCATTTAAGTATGAATGCATCTCAATAGCTAACCAGCTCCAATACCTACCATAAACTCCATAAACTTCAGAGACCAAAAAAATTTGATACAGTATGCATAGTTAGGGATTTGCACAGCAATGCAGATGGGTATATTTCCTTGCAACTTTAATCTTGGATCAAATCTTTTTGGCTGCAAAACCACCACAGGATTCTGGCAGGAAGTATGCATAGGAAAATCACCAAAAATAATGTCTTTGAGTTTCATTCTCTTAAGATCTGTCTTCTAGTTGCCTTGTTACCAGTTGCAACTTAACTGCCCCTTAAAAAGTAATGCATGTCAGACTGGGGTTTGCTGAAGCTCTCTGGTTGTTCTGATAACAATTTCTTTTTCCCTCTCTTTGAGGAGGTATCAGCTTCAATGATGGTTGACTTATCAACCAAATGAAAATTTCCCAAAGGTACAACCTGAAGAAGCATATCATGAGCAATAAAAGTGAGACTAGATGACAAATAACATGTTAAACCAAAATAGCTTCACGAATCCAGTGGCAGATGCAAAATCAATTCTGAACATTACTTGATCACTGCTTGAAGCATCTACTGTTGCAGCCTTCAACCTTTTTGCCCTAGAGACAGAGTTGGTTTTTGCTCCTTGGTTTTCATCCTCAAAATTCTGACCAGAGGCCTCTACAGAAGGTGAAAAGTTTTGGTCAGAGAAAAACTAAACAAAATAACCAAAACAATTCAATTAACCAAAAATTCTCGTCTAAAAACTAGCAAAGCTTTCTTTTTTGGGCAGAAAAGAACGAGTAGAACAAAAATGTTTAAACAAGGAGTGAATACAAAGTTCCAGAAAATAAGTAGCACTTTTACCAGTGATAAAGTAAAGGAGGACTAAGAATTTATTAACTCATTGTTTCTCAAGGTAAATATGACAAGGGATGAAGAAAGAGTGAAAATTTTACATCTTATTCATCATTTTTTCCCAATTAATTTCTTGATTCAGTGGATTTATCAAACATCAACTTTTCAAGTAGAATCAAATCCTTGATTGTAATTAGTGATAACATGTAAACTGAAGGCCCCGTGCTCAAGTTAGAGCTCTTTCAGAGCTATATTTTTGTCCCAATAGTTTGCCTCTTGCTTTCAGCGTTAGATTAATAAATTAAAACAGTAAAAGGGAATAAAAATTTCACACAAAATCAGAACATGTTCTACGTTATGAAATGGTGGACAAAGGAAGAACTAATAGACTTAGCATATTGCCCCTCTTACTAATCCAGTTAAACACAAAAAAAAGAAAAAAAAGAAAAAAGGCTGTAATGTGGTAAATCAAACAATGCATTAAACACTGGTGTTAGAGAACGTAAGAATCAAAGATCAACACCGAGCCACAAATGAAAAGGAGACATGTTGTGGGAATTAAAAGTACTAGGCAAATTCATGGAATGGAATGGAAAAGCTTGCGTTTTCCAAAAAATAAAAAAATACTAGGCAAACTGATAGCAGCTACTCACAAGAATTTACTGGAAAAAGCAGTAGTTACGCAAATCTATGACAAAACTGAAACTGAAAAGTCTTTGTTTGTGGAAAGCTAATTAGATGACCCCAAAGGCTCATTCATGGCATGTTCTTATCCTAATCCAGTTCAACTGCTTGATACCCATGCTGCCCAAACAGGAAAAATAATAATAATAATCCAGACTTGACTTCAATGACAGAATAGAGAGAGCATGTAAGGAATCCATATGCAAAGATCATTTGCTGAACCAGCATAAAAGTTCAGAAGCTTGTTGAACTCACCCACCATATACTTGTGAATAAAGAAAAATCTTGTAAGACAAAAGATACCCATTTGCTGATATAGCTAGGTGTCTGAATTTCACAAACAGGCAAAATTTTTGTTCAGTTCATTCGACCCCTAAAAGTGTTCTGTTGTGTTCAGTTCAGTGCATTGTAATTTTTTTAAATCACGTTCCTCCAACGGTACTTTATTTCAATTGAATGAAAGAAGTAACTTGTGATTTGACTATTAAGGTCTATTAAATGTTGAATTAGAAACACATGGTGAAAAAGATCATGTGATTTTAGGTAACATGATCTTCATCAACAAATTGTCAATTTTTGTGATATAGGGTTGCTGTGTCAGCCAAAATTTGCAATTTATGCAAAATTAAGGGCAGCAAAGATTAATACAACTCAATAAATGGACATTTCCTGTCAAACTGGAAATAGAAGTACAAAGGCATAATGGAGCAAATTGTAAATTCAAGGGCTCCACACAACACTCAATAAAAAGGTTAAGGTTCACTGGTAAGATTTGCCCTTATGCCTGAAAAATGTAGACTAGGGTTGACAGCAAGATTTGCTAGATGGGGAATAAGAAAATATCTAATGGAAGACATGCTGAGAAATGAATATGATTCCAGCATATTGAAACTGAACTTACCAGCAGAGCTGCCACTAAAACTCTGCTTGCAGGAATAACATTCATGATGTTGCCTTGAAATTTTTGCTGATACGCACAAGTCCATATTACTTCTAGAGCGCATCCCTTTACCATGAACCATCTTTTCTTGGGGATGAGCAGACATTGTTGAGTAGTGTTCACCTGCAGATGCAGAATAATGTATCCACGGACTTTCCAGAATATCAGTAGAATCAGCGGTGCTATCCAACAAAGTTTCGTTTCTTTCAAGGTTTATCTTCTGCCTGCAGCTATCTTGAAGAACCATAAACTGAAAAGGCATATCAAATAACTGGTTGAAGCAAAGAAGTTAACAAATATACTGCCATAAAGCGGAGATGCAAGCATAATGAGTTTCTAACCTGATCAGATGAATTATGTTCTCTGGCTACTGGCTGGCTTGATGGATCCTGCATTTCTTCTCCCGAATGCCACCCACAAAAACTCATGGAATGATGCAACTGCTTGACAAATGATGCTTCTAATAAATCAAGATATAAATTGTGCTTTTCATCTGTCCAAACCATGGATTGACCCTGCAATAAAAGACATCAAAAATTAATATACAAAACATGAGGAAGAAAGACCTTTAACAACAAAGAGAAATGTTGCCATAATATTAGATTGATGGAAAGATAAACATAATTTTGCACAAAATAAGATTAACTAATAATGAATGGCTAAAAGCCAACTATTATAATGGGATGATGGTCAACTCACCATCAATCCACAGTGACTGCCCAGATCTCAAAGATCATTCTCCCAAGTTCTACCTTATCTTCCCACCCTTTTAGGAATTATTTTTCTTAAAAGCAGAAAAGATGATAAAAGTGCTCACCCAAATGTGGGAGACATTGGTTAAGGCATTAAATAGGATTTAGAAATACTGCAGCAGAGCTCCATCCATTAGTATGAAACTAATCCTCCAAATATGAAAAAACTGATAAGACATTGACTCCAAGCACTTTAACAGTTCGACTTTCTAAAAGGAACAACCAACTGATCTCAATAATGACATTACAAATCCATTGAAATTTTAGTTAAGGGAAAAACCATTACAAACTGAAGTAAAGTTAATAAGTAAATCAAATTACAAAACACTTGATCCTGGCTTAACCTTCACCAAAGAGAAAACATATAAGCAAAATTTCCACCAAATATTTGTTAAATGCCTCTATTTCATCAAAATGAATGCATGTGGTTCTGAATATGGAATAATACCAGATAATCCATCAAATCTTGGCTCTCAGTCTACTGTCCGTTTATAGATCCATTTGGAAAACAAGATTCTGGTCCAATATAGTGTTTAAGAGGTAATGCACACTTACTTTAAAGTTTTTAAATATAAAATGAACAAGATAAATTTGCAGCCGGCATTGAAAGAACCTGCAGTTACCAATCTTGTACCATCAAAGTAGATTCCAACATGCAGCGAACCATGCCTAGATAAGGTAAAAAGTACAACTTCAAAGATGCAATGATTCAATGGTTAAACTTTCCATTTTTTTTCTTATATAAATAAAAAAAACTTCAATTTTTTTTAGAAAGAAAAAGAAAATTATGCAGATAGGGAGATGCCCACCCCCTTCTATTACAATATGCATATGGAGGAAGGATGCTATGTTCTCTTAGGTGATAGACTCAGTGCCTGACAAAAAAACTCCTCTTTTCAGATGGCCACCTTTTCTTTTCTGACAATTCTTTCACATTATGTCATATTCTGCATTCATCTAAAGGAAAAATTCTCTTAAAAAGCGAAGGAATTGTTCCAACACTTCTCAGCACCAAGGACAGAAGCACATATCCCAAGCAGGTGTTAAAAGAAATTAAAGTTGTTGCACGGTGTATTGTTGTTTTAAGAATATGATTCAGATTGCAATACCTAAAGCTTAAAATAAATTTAAAAAGAATAAGCCAATGTGAAAAGTTTGATATAATCAAAGGTCCATAATGTTCTGAACCAAATTTGAATTACATAATAAATAGGTGGAAAGTAAGATGTGGGAAGACAACCCAAGAAAGTTGTAAATCAGTTGAAAAATGAAACCTAAATGGATATCAACATTAAGTAATGATTCAAAGAAAATAGGCACCTAATTTATACTTTATTTTCAATTTTTTTAATTAAAACTTTCAATTATTGCCCATTAAAAAAGTTGAAATTCTCACGTTAAAGATTTGTAGATTCCCTAATTTAAAGCAACTGAATATTATTACAATGTTCTACTCCAACCCAACAAGAAATTTTAAAACTGATCTGCATGAACAAAAGGAGAGGTCCCTAAAGCACTTCATTTGAATTTTTATTTAAAATTTACACATTCAAGAAAACGATCCCATAGAAACTTAAAAAAAAAAAAAAAACCCCGAAATCCATAAACATAGGAAACAAATCAAAAACCCAGATTTGAACCGTAGCTAAACAACCCAGATTTGAATTGTAGCTAAACAACCTAGATTAAGATCGAAGAACCCAAAAATTCCTATCATGGTGGTCGAGGATCCCTGAATAATAAGTGTTCTCATGAAGCAAAAAACACAGATCTAGGAGTATGAACCTAGACAAGCAAAGCAAAGCTGCTAGATGGAAGAAAAGGAGGAGCAAATCGAAGTATGAACCTAGGCAATCTTATCATCAACCCAGATGCTCTAGGTGGCAAATTTGACTCTGATTGTGGATTTGGATTCGAGACTGAACTCGTCCTTGGTAAATCGAGATAACAAATTGGATTTGCCCACACCTGAATCGTTGATCATCACCACCTTGAATAGGTAATTGTAATCATCATCTACTTTGTATGCCGTCATTTCGTAGCTCCAGTCGATTCAGTTGAGTTTTCGACGAGAATTTTGTGGGGGATATGGATCAAATCAAATGCTGAGAAGCAAATTTGAGTAAAATGGAGAAAAAAACGCATGGATTCTCCGTTAATCTAAAACATGGACTTTGAAAGAGATCTGCAACACTTTTTGGGATTTAGGGTTTTGTTTCATCCCCTTTTTAATCTTCACTGATCTTTCCACGATCTTCTTCTTTCACAGCAATACCCAATCAAATTCGCCAGCCTC